GAACAGAATAACAGAAAATTAAATTTCGTGATATGTCCCGATTGCGGAAGAACTTGCAAAGATGACACTCATCTATTACGAGCAGAGAATATAAAAAGGAACACAATTTTGTCTGTTTTACATGTGATAAAGTTTTCAGAACTTACGGAAGTATCACTTGCAAAGACACATGTATCTAGTACACGAATTCAACAAACTGGATCAATAACTAATTTTTATTTTGATTTTCAAACTTTATTATAAACAGATTACTGTATTTTTGTTTCATTATGTAAATGAATAAATCTTTACTGTATATTTTGTATCTAATGAAATGAAATAAACTACTATTTAAAAATTTGTTTGATCAATACTTATGTTTTTCTTCACAAACATGCAATAAAAATACGTATCATTCATAAACTATTGTATCTCTGATATTGCAATATACATATATGTTTCGTTTAAACGTATGATAAAAAAAAATTTATAACATAAAAAATATTAATTTTAATCACAAAATGTTGGCACTAGTATAAAGAGAGAGAGAGAGAGAGAGAGAGAGAGAGAGAGAGAGAGAGAGCGCTCTGAAATGTTTTTTAATGTTCTGAACCTAATTTTAAACACTTGCACAGAAATTATTTATCTCTCCCGCATTGAGTCATCCAGTAGCGCAACCGTTCACTAAGCAACTCAGTAGCAACTCAGTATCGTCTGAGGAATTGAAAACGTGTATATAAACATAATCACAAATTTCAATTCCGCAAGCGAATTATATACCTTCTGCTATGTTCACATGACTTTACCATGGTATTGGCAATGTATGAGAAGCAAATAACTTTTGCAGTATACACTATGTACCTAAAATAACTGAGTTTATAACTCCATAAAAAAATTTCAGAGCTGCTTTTTACACTGATCCACATTTTGTCATTAGAACTAATAATTTTTATGTTATAAGTGTTTTTTATTATACATTTAAACGGAATACCCCGTATTATATATATATATATATATATATATATAATACTATGTGTTCTCTCGAAGACTGAAGGGACACATACGCATC